ATGTTTTGAGAATGATGATGGCAACAAATGTACAAATGTGCTTGACACAATGGATGTATGTACAGATTGTGATAAGAATTGTATGAGTCTCCAATAAAATGATTTTTAAAAAAAGAATTAGTCAGCATCATGCTATATTAGTTCATTCTTTGGTATTGACCCAGTTGCTACAAAGAATGAGAAGTTGGTATTACACAGGTTAGTCTTCTACATAGTATTTTTCCTTCATACTAGAGGAAAAGGTAAGTTCTCTTTTAAAAGGAGAGCGATGTGTTTTCTCTAACGGTATATATATACTATGTGATCAGCCGCCTCATTCTACCCCGGGGCAGTCAGTTGTCCTTCTATGGCCCTCACACATGTTTGAGTGTGCCAAGGACTATGTCGTGGATATCCAAACTGCATGGCATTTTTCCACTCCCACTTACCTCCCACATGATGCAGAAGCTTAACGTTGCTTCTTTATGTAGAAGAGAACCTAAAATATTTTGGAATTGGTAAAGTATATCTATGGGCTTTGGCCTCTTCTCTTGATTTTCAGTCTCCTATTTAAAAGTTTCTTAATTTCTTTCATTAGAATTTCTGATTTAAAAAACTCAAAATAAATCTCACAAATACTTAATACTTAGCTCTTCAAATTAAAAAATATCTGTGATTATATTTTTCCATATGCTTAGATATAAATATTAATATATAAATGTATTAATTTTTGAATGAAATATAATAAAACACAAGATCTGCATTGCACCCCAGCATTACACTGAGATTTATTTATCATTTTTCTTCATTAATTAAATTGCATATATCCTTTAGAAGAACAAACAAAAGTTTAGTGACAAAGTCATTTGTGGTTAACTAGGGACATAATTGATTTATTTTGTGTACAACAAATAATACTCACTGCATCGTTTCCTTTCATTATGCATTCTTCTGTTTTCAGCACTGAACTGGGCCAGTGTATCTGTAATTATAAAACAATTTCTTAGTTTGGCAACCACATATAGAAGTAATCCAACTGAAAGGTCCTTTTCGCCCCCTACAACTCAATACATTTTTATTTTCTTCAATTTTCTGAGTAGACAGAGCAAAAATGTGTCTCCTTTACATCACTATTTGCACAATTAAGAAATGTACCTTTGAGCTTTTTCATTAAATAGTGAGGGGTAAAGGAAACTGATATCTTGGAATTCAAGAAGAGAATGTTTTGAAATGGATTGTGGTAGCACTGGTACAATACTGCTTGATGCGATTAAACTATGGATTGATATGATATCTAAGAAAATAATGGTGGCCAGCTATTAAAAGATACAGCATCTGGGGTCTTAAAGGCTTGTAGTTAAACAAGCCACCATCCAGCAAGGAAGCAACAAAGTTCACATGGAAGAAGCACACTAGCCTTTGTGATCATGCAGTATCGATGGAAAGAGGTATCAGAAGTTCAAATACAAGCAACCAAATCGATGTGAAGGGGCATGGGTGTGGAGACCCCAAACCCACCTGGAAGATAATTGGACAGTCCCTCTCATAAGGGCCACACAGAAGGGATGATAAAGCCAGGGTGCATTAGAGCACTGGTGAAACACATAACTATCCCCTGGTTCTTTATTATTTCCTCCCCTCATTATTACAGCTTATTTTTAACCTCATTCACATTGTTAGACCTACATATGTTCATTTGTGTAATTAAGATTGCTCGAGGCAGGAATGCCAGAATGGATGACCCTTTAGAAACAGCAATGGGAGTAAAGATCCCCTGAGGATATGGGAAGGTGGTGGGGGGAGGTGGGTGAAGAGGGAGCTGATAGCAATGATGAGTGGATAACCCCACTTGAGGGGAGCGAATAATAGAAGTATAGGTGAATGGATATATTGGATGGGGTAAGATATGGGCAAATATATGTATGAATGTATATATATACGTATATATGTATGCATATATATATATGTATATATATAGAGAGAGAGACACACACACAATAATATATAGCAATAACAACATGAGTTCCTGGGGGGAAGGGTGGGGGAGGAAGGGGATAAAGGGGAGCTAATATCAAAGAGTTCAAGAAGAAAGAAAATGTTTTGAAACTGGTTTTAGTAGCAATTGTACAATTATTCTTGATCCATTTGAATTATGGAATGTTATGACATTTGTAAGCACACCCAATAAAATGATTAAAATAAATAAAGTCTCTTGAATAAGAGATAAATATTATTTTAATATTTGGGGAAGATTCATGTTCTAGCTAAGCCTTAACACCTACGCCAGCTTCCCACTTTTGAGCCTGTGTCTTCTGCCTTCGTGTGTTTCTCCTGAACCTGATCGTGCCGCCAACCCAGTCTTCTCAGTAATTTCTTTATAAGGCCCTCAAATGTACCACGTAGAACACAGCCAAATGTGTGGTGTATGTTTAGTTATGCATGAAGTTTCAAACAATGAAAAGATGAACAATTTTTAAAAATTCTTATTTGCAAAGTATCACAGTCATAAGCCACGCTATATATTTGATTGTTCTGAAAACATTATTGAATGCTAGTAGCTTCTAGAACATAAAAATCCACACAACTGGACCAACAGACATGCTGATAAATAAAGAAAATATTAATGTTGTCAAGGATATCATTTTATTTGAATGCCCAATCAAAGCTCATGGAAACAGCCGTCACCGGGCAAATCTGCTCCCAAAGACCTCTTTGTTCTTCTTAATGAAGAACAAAACAAATTTGACTTGAAGGAAATAAGGCCCAAACAGTCCTCAGAAGCAAGGATGATGAGCTTCTTTAACAGGAGAGACCAGTCTCCAAGGCGTCATGCTTGGTAAAGGTGGTAGTTATATAATTTGGTGTCAATTTGAGAGGATTATTAGTTAAGGGGTGGAGTCTGGCCCTTCGATCAAGAAACAACCAATGAGGTCTCTGTGTGGGCATGACCTTCTCCTGAGAATTCTGGGCATTCCTGGATTTCCTGCTGGGAGACAGACTCTCTCTCACTGCTAACTCCCTGGAAGACATTGCAGCTGACAAAACACATGGAACTATGCTAGTGCCCTGAGCTGGAGAAACCACATAGACCTACCCTGATGCAATCAGATGTCTGGAGCCAGAGAAGCCACGTAGAGACCCCTGCCAGCACTAGGATGCTTACAACACCACTGGATTCACAAGACTTCCAACTCACTGGCCTGTGATCGTCCTGCAATCGGCATCATTGCATGTATTTTGTGAGTCTGAAGAGGACTTTATAGAATGGTATCGGACATATGGGCTAACATTGGACTTATGGACTTGATCTGGACTGGGCTTGGATGTTTTCTCAATGTTCAACTGCTCTTGTATATAAACCTCTTTCTTATATACATATGTGTGTCCATGAATTTGTTTCTCTAGTCTACCCAGACTAACACAGTAAAGTAGAGGATCGGTGAAATAGAGAAAGACCCTCAGCAAGATAGATTGGCACAATGTCTGTAAAAACACCCCAAGCATAACAAACATTATAAAGACTGGTACAGGACTGGGCAGCATTTCATTTTGCTGTTCATAGAGTTGATATGAATCAGAGACAACTTGATAGAACCTAATAACAACTTAAAAATGGATTTCAGAGGGTTTCTTTCTTGAAGAGAGAATATACCAATTATGTACATTTTTTTTCATCTTCACTAGTAATTAGCACTTTTCTGGGACTGGGGCAAAAATCATTAAGTTGTTGGTAACTGATTCCACAAAATCCTAACAATGTAATTTATTTCATTTATGTGAGAAATTGCTGTATCATTTTCTCCAGGCCTCTTTAATTACTATTTTTGCTTAAATTATGAAGTTAATCATAATATGTTTAAAGCACTGTAACTTTTCATTGTTTTTTTCTTTTGATTTATAAACTATTATATAGAAGTTTGAGTTTGTTATATTACTTGATTTGTAGTTCATTTTCATAACTGGTCTTGATAAAGCATGAATAAAGAAGGAAAAAAAAGAAGATATCAAAGAAAAACTCAAAAGTACATGCCAAAAAAAAAAAAATCCAAGAATTTATGGTCTTGAGTTTTGCAATACATCCATCAATGAGTCACGTGTGATATAAGAAAGTCATTATGACAATACAACAGAAAGGCAATTTTAGGATCAGTTCTCCTTTGGAAATATTTTCATGATTAATTAACCTACCAATATGAATTAATTATATATAAATCTTTAATTTAAAATAATGCTGTATTTTCTCAACAAATGTATGACATTCATGGATCTTATATCATACTGACATCCATTTTTATTTGTTGTATAACAGTATGATATATTTGAACTGTATTTCCAAAACTACATAACTCAATCATTATTTTGAAAAAAATGTACCAAATTCAGCTGTTTTAATGTTGAAATAGGAATGCAGAGGGAAAGAAACCTTCAACATATCATCCTGTATTCACTTAAATCATTGATTCATAACAATTATTTCCAGGCATACTTATGCACACCAATTAGAAGCCAATTTTCTACAGTGTTTCTAGAAATCTTGTTCCAGAACTTTCTTTTTTTTCCTTTCACATAGGTTTTCAGATGGAGATGGAATCTCCAACCAGGACAAAGGGCACATTTGCTTCCCATATAAAATAATAAGTATAATGTCTGTCTGGGTGACAAAGATTGGAAGGTTTGGTAGCAGTCCCCTTATAAAATGGAAGAAGGGGTAGTTCTTAATCCACCATGTGCATTGCATCTGCCTGAGCCATTCCATATGTGGTAGTTACATAACTTCATGTCAGGTTGATAAATAGAGTGAAGGGGTGGCATTTAACCTGTCAATCAGGTCACAGCCTGATGATGCCACCCGGTGGGTGTGACCTTCTCATGAGGATTCTAGGAACTTTCTCTTCTTCTGAAGGTGGGCCACACACTTTCTTTTTGCTTCACTTTCCTGCTGTTGGGACACTCAAGGAACCACGTAGAGCCCTGTACCAGCACTGAGAAACTTCCATTACCACTGGATCCACAAGACTCTTCACCCACTGGCCTGTGATCTTCCTGTATTTTTGCATCCATTGCATGTGCTCTGTGAGTCTGAAGAAGAATTCATAGGCAAGTGTAAGACTTAGGGGATAATATTGGACTTACGGACTTGATCTGGACTGGACTAAGATATTTTCTCAAAATACAATTACTCTTTGATATAATTCTATTCCTTAATGTATATGAGTGCCCTAGATTTGTTTATCTAGTCAACCCAGCCTAACACAACTTATCACTCCTCTTTGAGGCTTGAGAGGCAAGACAAATGAATGGCATAGGAAGCTCAACCTGTTTGTTTGCTGTGGGTTATAAATACAAGTCCTGTGTCTCTGACCCAGGCGTCTCAGCTGCTGCCATTTTAACTTGTTTTCTCCAATCCATGGTAACAATTTTAGAGCCTTCACAGTTTTTGATGCACAGAAAACACAAAATGTAATTATGGTAAGCAAAACAAAACAAAAAACCCCTCATTGCCATCAAGTTGATTCTGATTCATTCATAGTGATATTATAGGACAGGGTAGAACTGCTCCCATGGATTTTTGAGACTATAACTCTTTTTTTTTAATCATTTTATTCAGGGCTCATACAACTCTTATCACACTCCATCCATCCATTCATGGTGTCAAGCACATTTGTACAATTGTTGCCATCATCCTTTTCAAAACATTTTCTTACTATTTGAGCCCTTGGTATCAACTCCTCAGTTTTCCTTCTCTACCTCACGAACGGTTGATCATTTATAAATTATTATTATTTTTTTCATGTCTTACACGGACCAATGTCTCCCTTCAGCCACTTTCCTGTTGTCCATTCCCCAGGGAGGGCATTATATATAGGTCATTATAATCGGTTTCCCCTTTCTCTCCCACCTTTCCCTTACCCTCCTCGTATCAGTACTCTCATTATTGGTCCTGAGGGGTTTATCTGTCCTGGATTCCCTGTGTTTCCAACT